GAAATGCGTGGGTCCGGCGGTGACGCGGCTGGTCCGTCCGGTGAGGGGAGAGCATGCAAGAATACAAGGCCCATCTCCTGGACGTCATTCCGAGCTCTGGCGTCGCGAATTCTCGCAACGAAAACCACGTGACAAGCAATCGAAGTGTGAGGGGTTGCGACCGTACATGGGACTAACACTCCGTTCCGATCAAGGATGTGAACGGTTCGGTCATGGAAGTTCACCGGATGATCGGCGCTACGCAACCAAGACATGCCTAGAATCATGTCGAACTTGGTGTCGAGGATGTCAAAAGACACCGACTCGCACGCAAGTGGCGCAAAGTATACCGGAACGCCGTCGACGCATCGGTCAATTGACTTTTGCGTGCGGTCGTCCGCGAGTGTAAGTTGCGTGGGTTGCGTCTTCCTTCGAACGCGCAGGCCAAGACCTGCGCGGGCCATAAAGGCTTGGCTCATAAAGTTGCGAGACGCTCCGCAATCAATCAAGGCACTACAGGTCGCCTTTCCAATTTGAATGCGGATATAGAGCAAAGGAGCGTCGGTTTCGGCGTACCTTTGGGTGGCGTACTCGCGGTCAATCTTCGCAAGATAGGAGCGGAGATCGACAACCGCTACCCCGTCGTCCGTCAACGGAGCTGGTACTGTAGTGTGCAAATAGGAGCGTAGAGTTGCCATCAAGGCATTGCAATGCGGCCTTGGCAAGGTTCCGGTCGAGGGTAAAGGCATCCAAGCGAAGTCCTCTCTCGTGAGCGGGTCAAGCTCCTCAAGTCTTGACCACGCTGTCGAGTCCTCGGAAATCAGTGGCGAACTGACCGGATCACTTGCCGACGGTGAATAGGCTGCGCATACGCTAGCTAAATGCACGTGGCTTGGCTGGTCTAATGGTGGTACCAGCTGGGCGGCATAATCCTCGTACGTAGCACGAGAATCAGCGACTAACGCATGCTCCCCGGTAGTGACATCGATTGCTAGCAAGGCAACCGGGTCCGGAGGAGTGAGGAGAGACGTCGCCCCTCTCCTTGCGTAACTCAGTTTCCCGAGTTTGTTGGACGGAGTACGCGTGCCTTGCCCTTTTCGGGGCATTGTGCAGTCAAGTGTGTGACTCCATTGCACCAAAGGCAATATTTGTACTTCTGACGAAGTTCATAGACTTCCTTTGTGATGTTGTAGGCCGTCCATGGCTGCTGCCCAGTTCCCGTCGATGCCGTCTCTTGTGCTGCCTTGGGTTTCCGGACCCTCTTAGGACGCTTCGGAGGGAGCGCTGCTACAATTCCTCCATCACTCGAGGATGCTGCTGCAGCGTGGAGATTGTCTGTTCCTTCAGAAATTACGGCATTGTTATGTGCCGGACGTTGATAGCCCTGCTTAGCCACATAATGCGGCTGGGATTGTTTCTCGTTAGCGGCCTTGTCGTCCGTCTGGATGACCAGGTTTGCGCGATCCAGGATGGCCTGGAACGAGGTATAGTCGTACTCATTACCGAGTGCCGACCGCAATCTTGCGCACGATCGCGAGAAGAACTCGGATTGTTGATTTGGAAAAGTCAAATCAAAGCCTGGCGTGGTCACTATCTTTTGCCGCTTGGTTGTCCAGTCTCGAGTTGGCATACTTCCTTGAGAGCAGGTGTACACCTCGTTCATGGCCGCCTTCACGAYRTTGYGGACCATGAACCGGGTGAACCATAGCTGCTCGAACTCCTTCCACGTGATGTGCGTGTGAAGTTCGGCGATGGTGCATGTGTGGGTAGCCGCCAGGTGGTTCATCCATGCCTGCGCTCCTCCAGTCAGCTGTAAGTATAGCGCCTTCATCATGTAGTCGTCTGGGACAGTGCGGCAGGATGCTTCCGTAAGGAAACATTGCCACCATGCCAAGGCGTCCGTCTTGTTGTGGTCGTCGAAGTTGCTGATGTCGAAGTGTGGCATCTTGTAACTCTTCGTCGCGGCGTCCGGTCTCGTCTGTAGCTTGGTGATGTCCGTCTTGATGGCGGCCACCGTGCTACTGATCGTGTCCGGCCCATTGAAAATACCTATGTCGCCGATGAGCTTGACGACGTGATCGATGCGCCCGTTGAGTTGCTTCGTCTCGTCTGTCGTGCAGCCTGGCGCTGCTGAGGCCTTAGCCTCGATGCTGCTGACGCGTGCAGTGGTGGTGTTCCACAATTGTTGCTGTTGTTGCTGATGTGTGGCGGTAGTGCGAACAGCTGCTGACAAGGCTGCAGAATCCTTCTGCTGCATCTGTTGCAGCTGTCTGCCTTCGTGTATTTGTACTGCTAAAATCGTATTGTTCCACATGATCGCTCGCATCATTGTCAACATCACGTTAGCCAGGTGAGTCCTCTCTGCCTCCGCCGGTGTCGGATCTGCCTGCGCTTCCGAAGGCACAAAGATCATGCCCTCGAGGATCGTTGTCCACTGATTCTCATTATGAATCAGGGATTCCGTGCTGGCGGCATTCCGTTGGTCCCGTGCTGCTGCGTCATCCTCAGTAGGTTGCTGAGCTTGGGCTGCCGCCTCTTTGGCCAGCCGTTGACGTTCCGCCTCTGCTCCCTCTTGTGCCTTTGCGGTTGCTACGGCATCAGTGAATGCCTGTACCCGCTGAAAGTAATCTGCCAACAGCTCACCGGCCCCTTGGACTGGGCATGCGGGAAGAACTCTGGTGGTACCCGGTACCGTCAATACTGTACTCGATGCCGCTGGAGTCGTCCTGCTGCTGAGTCGCTGAGTCCTCCGTCGGAGAGGTATCACAGAGCGGGCACGCCCTGCAAGCCTGGCACTGCGTCGTGGCAGTGCCCCGGTGTCTTGTTCCATCGACATCAGTGCTAGCTGATGTGGTACTTAAGAAACCCGGTGGTCACAGAGTACGGGGAGGGTAGGGAGGGTGGGAACAGGGGTAGAACAATCACACAATACGCATACAGTCCCCTGTCCCACTGATGGACTGTAGACACCTAATCAAAACAGAAATATAAATTCCCGTAAACAATTCAACAATTCGAAATAAGAATTAGAATTGACGAATTATTTAATCAATAACTCTTATTTAATGATAAATAACGAAATAATAATTCTTAATGATCATCAATAAACAATGTTTGTAATAAAGATAATCCTCAATAAACAATTTTGCAATAATGATAATAAACGAATTTTGAATTTTATCAAGATTAGGTATCCGTTGAGATCATCTACGGTCCGGGAATTCACCGTTAATGAGTGAAACCCGGAAGTTGCAACTTTGACGGTTAGCTTCGGATTAGTTTGCCCAAAAAAATTTCGAAAAAAGTTAGGAAAAACACTCGAATTTTCAAAAACGTTAATTTTTGGGAATTTCCACCGTCAAAATCCGATTTTTAAAGGCCTAAGACTGTTTTCGGAATTTCTCAAACAAGGGGAACGAAAAAAAAAATTTGCGAAAATTTCGGTCCCAACCCTAATTTTCCGCGTTTCGGCGGAATTTCCGGATTTACGGTCCCCAAAACGTTCGAATTCCCCAAGTTGATCTAAAACCAAAGATTGCTTAACCCTAATTTCCACTACTGCGATAAAACGGAAATGCCGATTTGTAAGACGAAATACCGGATTAAAAATCAGAATGCCGAAATAGAAACGGAATACCGAAAGAAATCATAATGCCGAAATCAACAGAAAACTGATTTAACCCTAATTACGAATTACTAACCAGAAATCCGAATCAAACAGAATGTTGGATTCGTATCAATTTATCGGAACCTAATAAAACAGCATACCGGCGAAAACAGAAATCTGAATAATAAGTCCGAATACTGAATTGAAACGGAAGTGCCGAAATAAACAGAATACCAAAAAAAGAAAAAAAAAATTGCAACTTTGAACTTGATAGTAATTCAGCGCTGATTTGGAAGATTGAAGAACAATCTAATTCCTAAATCAGTCTTACCTGGTGAGCAGATCTGTAATTGGTCTGCTCCGATACCAAAACTGTTACATACTTCAATGAGTATGGGCAGAACCAAAGATC